CTATCTATCTATCTATCTATCTATCTATCTATCTATCTATCTATCTAATTATCTATCTCTGTGTCTGTCTACTGTCTCTCAGGACCTCAGTAAAAATGAATGTTTGGATTAGATGGTGTCTGAAGTCTGGTCCATCTGTAACATTCTCAGAACTAGCTTGTGTCCAATTCAATTACCATATTTGGTCTGCATCGAAAGAACCCAGAGAAATGGAAGACTTGCTATGTTATTTCCTAGCATTTCAAGAGAATAACTACAATGACAAATGAGAAAAAAGGAGAAAACCCAAGTATTTTTTAGGAGACACTGGCATCATCCATAGAAAGTGGCCTTTGTCAGCGTAGCCTGAAAATGTTGGACCATTATAAGAATAGGACCTTCCAATCATATTCCAAATTCCAGAGAGTTAGTGTGTTTTTGAGAAAAGACAGATATGTTGTGATGCCATGGCTTGGATTTGCATAGGGAAAGTCAGTGCTGGAGGGCCCTGAAACCCTGCCATGTGAAAATCAGTTGAAAGCATGTTTAAATTTGGGGGAGGGGAGGAGAGTATCAGAACTCTCTTCAAGTATTTGAAAGGCTGTCATGTTGAAGAGGGTTGGGCTGTTCTGCTTGGCCCCAGGAGCCAGAACTAGGAGTGATGAGTGGTAGTTGTGAGGTCTATTTCATTCAGCTAAATACAATAAAATGTCCTATTAAATTAAAGCTCTTATTCAATTAATCACCCAGCATTTGTTAGATGCCCACTCTGTGCCAGGCACTGTGTTAGGCAAGAGGACCACAAAGACAAAAGGAAAGGAATAATTGCTTCTAAGGAGTTCATAGTCTAGAGGGGATAACAGCATATCCATGGAACAAGACACCTCAAGGGCCCCCGAATGACCTTCCTTCCACTCTGTTATCAGGATGGTTAGGAAAACTCTGAAGTTTGATTCAAATCTTTTCAAGAGGGTCATTTGGGGAAGGGTAGCCCAAGCAGCAGGGGCTCATGAAGAAGGTCGTTCTTGTTCTGAGGTTTGAAAGAATCCATAGATTCTAAGAGGCAGAGGGAGGGACGGAGGGAGGGAGGGAATTCCAGGTCCGCCGGATAATCTGTGCAAAGACTCTTAGATAGGACATGGAGTGTGGAAGACATGGGAGGAACTGCAGGAAAACCTCTTTGGCTGGAACCTCAAGTGTGCAAAGGAAAATAAGGTGGAACAAGCTGGGAAAGGTAGACTGAAGCCCCATTGTGAAGGACTTTGGATGACAAACAAAAGAATCTATGTTTTATCCCAGAAGTGATAGGGAGTCAACACATCTTGACTAGGAGAGTGATGTGACCAGACCCATCCTACCAACCTGATGAGATGAAATGAAATGCAATATGTATGTAAAGCATTTTGTAAATCACTGTACATCAACATGATATTATTATCAAACATTATCAGTTTCCAAGAATAACCATCAATAATTAGGCAATCTGTCAGTAAAGGTGTTTTATTAAGTGCCTACTATGGGCCAGACATAGTGCTAAGTGATGGGGATAGAAAAAGAGGGAAAAGACAGTCCCTACCCTCGAGGAACTCACGGTCTAATGGGGGACATGACAAGCAAATAAATATGCACGAACAAGCTGTGTGTAGGATAAATAGAACGTAATTAAGAGAGGGAAGGCACTGGAATTGAGAGGCTTCCTATAGAAGGTGGAATTTTAGCTGGGACTTGAAGGAAAATAGGGAAGTCATGAGGGAAAGATGAGGAGGGAGAGCGCTCTGGGCAGGGGGACAGCCAGGTCTTCTCTATCATTTATCTATTTCTATCTTCTCTATCATCCCCTGTCTCTATCATCTCTCTATCATCTCAACCTAGAGGTGAGACACAGAACAGCAAGGAAACCTAACCAGTAAGGTATAAGAAAACCAGAAATGTGTAGAGGGGAGTACTAGGTTATGAGAAACTTTGAATATTAAACAGAATTGTATGTTTATTATAAAATTCATACATTTTAATATATTTTTATTTTTTAAATTGTTAAACTTTTTTTTCTTTCTTCTCACTCACCCCTCACCCATTGGGGGAAAGAAGAAATCTGGTGTTTTTATAACATATAAGCAAGCATAGGCAGCTTTCTACACATATTAAATATGTCATTTACTCAGTTTTAAAATACTGCCATCTTAAGTACTTATAGCATGTCTTCATATGTGAAATAGGACTTGAAAAATTCCTTTTTTCCCTTCATTTTCTGGCACAGACTTCTGAAATTATTAATATGTAAATATGTAAGGCAATGAGCAGTAGTAGACAGAATTCTGGCCTTGGAGTCAAGAAGACCTGGTACAAATCCTAGCTCTGAGATTTAGTTTGGCCAAATCACATAACCTCTCTTAGCGTCTGTTTCCTTACCTGAAACACCTGCCTGGCAACTACTAATTCTGAAATCATAAAAATTCTTCCTTTACTAATAGCTGGCTCATTCCACTTCTCAAGTGCTACCCCATTTCTCTCATTTTTCCCTTCATCTCCTGGAGTGAGCTGCTTCCATTTGGTTTGTGAACTTTCTTAGAGCCCACTGGCTCCTGGATCTTCTCTGATCTGGCTTTCATCGTCAGCACTGAAGTCCCTTCAGTAAAACTTCCTTCTTCAAAAGTGGCATGACCAACATACCTGGTGTTCATCACCTCTGTTGTCTTTCTGTGCTCTGTTCTCTATGTCTCGTGTACCATGCATGGTCAGTGGAAGCCCATTGATGTGAATGGCCTCCCAGTGACCTGGAGTGAATGTTACATAACAATCCCTTCTTTGTTTCCTTCTAAGCGAGGCTATAAATTGGGTTGGAAGCACATTCTTTCATTTCCTAGAGCAGTAAATAGGGCAGAGTGACCAGGCCCAGGGTGATGAGATTTAGAGAGTTCTGAGAGGATACATACTCCTTCAGCAGGGAGGACCAACTGAGTTTACCATTTGTATGAGTGTGTCCATCTATCTCTGTCTGTCTGTCCATTCATTACTTAAGTATATGACTTTATCATCTATCTTCTCACTATCATCTGTCTTCTCTATCGTCTATCTCTAAGTTCTCTATCATCTGTCTGTCTTCTCTATAATTTATCTATTCCTATCTTCTCTATCATTTTCTATCTTCTCTGCATCTATGTCTTCTCTATCATCTCTCTTCTCTATCATCTCTCTCTCTTCTATCATCTATCTTCTTTATTATCTATCTCCATCTTCTCTATCATCTATTAATTTATCTTCCCTCTGTCACCCATCAATCTATTTTATCTGTCCTCTATTTCCCTATCATCTGTCTTTATCATCTATCCTCATCTCCATATCTATCTATTTCTCTCTATCATCTACTTCTCTGTTATCTCTCTCTGCATTCCCTAGCATTCTCTATATCTTCTCTATAACCTATGTATCTTTTCTAGCCATCCTCTCTCTCTCTCTCTCTCTCTCTCTCTCTCTCTCTCACACACACACACACACACACACACATTATTGCCATCTTGCTGTCTCCCCCATTAGAATGTGTGT